CCTGTGCAAAATGTTACAATGGCTTCTTATTACCTATTGAATAAGAATAAGAACACCTAGTTTATATTGAGCATTTACTTACATAGGTTGCCAGGCACTATAATGAGAACTCTACAACCACCTCCTTGTCCTCTATTATCACAATATTCATATGGATGAGGAAACTGAGGTTCAGGATAAGTTGCTTGCCTAAGGTTGCACAAGTAATAAGTTACAGAACTGGGGATTTGACTCAATTCTGTTTTGCTCCAAAGCCTGTGTTTCTAACAACTTTGCTATCCATATGTCCACCTAACTTGATTCAGGTGAACTGTAATTAGTTGTAATTAGTTAAAGGCAATATATATATATATATATATATATATATATATATATAGTGAATTTCTATTTTTTTTTTCTTTTTGCTTCTCAGTGGATCATATTGTACATCTCCTGGGCTCTGATCATGCTTACTTTGGAGAGCTCCAACTTAATATAATAAAACTTGCCACTCACATATGATTCCAGGTGTCTTTAAGGAAGGCTCGTCTGCTTATTTTATGTTCTCCATAATACTTAGCATCATATTTTCCCAGCACTATTCTAGATATTATATTAGGTGTGAAATACGTTTTTAAGAATGCCAGGATGAATTTGGACTGTGGGTTTTTTTATTAAACATTTTAACCATGAATACAATTCAGTGGCATTAAGTGCATTCACAATGTTAATCATCATCATGCCAAACAGAAACTCTGTACCCATTCAGCAATAATGACCCATTTTATCCTTATATCCTATATTCTTTTTTTTAAAATAAATCTTTATTGTTCATATTGTTACAAAGGTTCCTCATTTCTTCCCCCCTCCACCAGGTTCCCACCCCACCCACCGCCCCCTCCCCATCCCCCATTGTCCTCATTCATAGGTGCAGTTTATGTTCAGTCTCTTCCTCCCTCCCTTTCCCCGATAGTAAATCCCTTTTCAGATAGTAAATCAGTTACTTAGCATTTTCTCATATCAATAATACCACCACATGCCCAATGATACATTTCACACAAAAGACATTTCCAAATAGGTCAACCAGCCTCATCCAGGCCCCACCCAAGGCACTCACAGATCAACACCCCAGCCCTATACTAACTCAACACATCCAGATCTAAGCCTTCATCACTTGATTCAGCAGACCCTCAAGTTCCCACAAAAGTTTCCAGCCATGTCTGAGAGGCAGCCGTCGGGGAGGGGCAGGCGAGGAGCGAGCTGTTCCGGGCCTGGCTGCTCCGGGCCTGGCCTCTGTTGCTCTGGTTCATTCCACAACCAGCTGCTCCGGGTCTGGTCACTGCCGCTCCTGACCTAGTTGCTCTGGATCTGGCTGCTGCTGCTCCGGGCCTGGCCGCACCCAACCCAGCTGCTCTGGGCCCGGCTGTTTCGGGCCCGGCTGCTCTGGGCCTGGCCGCTCCCAGCCTGGCAGCTGCTGCTCCGGGCCCGGCCGCACCAGACCCGGCTGCTCCGGGCCTGGCCGCTCCCAGCCTGGCAGCCCCTGCTCTGGGCCTGGCCGCTCCCAGCCTGGCAGCCGCTGCTCCGGGCCTGGCCGCTCCCAGCCTGGCAGCCGCTGCTCCGGGCCTGGCCGCTCCCAGCCTGGCAGCCGCTGCTCCGGGCCTGGCCGCTCCCAGCCTGGCAGCCGCTGCTCCGGGCCTGGCCGCACCAGACCCGGCTGTTTCGGCCCTGGCCGCTCCCAGCCTGGGAACTGGTGCTCCGGGCCTGGCCGCACCAGACCCGGCTGCTCTGGGCCCGGCTGCCCCGGGCCCGGCTGCTCCGAGTCTGGCTGCTCCCAGCCTGGATGCTCTGGGCTTGGCTACTGCTATTCTGGACCTGGCTGCTCCCAACCCGGCTGCTCTGGGCCCGGCTTCTCCGGGTCCGGCCACTCCAGGTCTGGGTATTCCTGGACTGGCCTCCCTGGGCTTGGCTGCCTCCGCCTCAGGCCTGGCTGCCACTGCTCCAGGTCTGGCTGCTCCAGTGCTGGCTGTTGTTGCTCTGGTTCTGGCTGCTGCTGCTCTGGGGCCTGGCCGTTGCTGCTCCAGGCCCGGTTGCCATTGCTTTGTGCCTGGGCACTCTAGGCCTGGCCGCCGCTGTTCCAACATTCTGTCCTTTTCTTTTTAAACGCATTTATGTTGCAATGTTGGCTGGTGAGTTGAGTTCTGACTTAGTCATTGATTTTTCAAGATCTTCTTTGTATTCTTTCTTAAGTAATTTTACTATCTTTTGCTCTCACTTGATTTCTTCACATTGAGAACTTTGGTTTCTTCCTCCTTGTCCTGGGAGCTCAGCAGGTTGGCCTGTGGCACCCCTTTGTTCTCCACGGGCTCCCGCGCTGCTCCAGCCTGTTGCCGCGGTCGGCGCCGCCCAGGAAGCAGCCCCCGGCCTTGGCTCCGTTGCCCGCTCTCAGAGGTCGCTGGCTCAGGGGCACCCCCCCCCCAGGGGCCCCGTTGCCCGGCTCCCTGCCGGCGCCCGGCTGGCTGGTGTCCGGCAGGGGCTCCTGCTCCCTGTCGCATTCCTCCAGTCTGGAGCTTTTTTTTTTCTCCTTCCTGCTAGGAGAGTCTAGGATCAGAGTCAACAGACTGTCCTCTGCGCGCAGTGCGCGCGACTCTGGGGGCTCTGCTTTTCGCCACTCCCCTGGGATTCCGCCTCACAGCCCCTTCTCCCCCTGCCCAAGCCTGGGTCCCCAGGGTCTGGTCCAGGACTGGGGTTCAGAGCAGTCCGGACTGAGGCTCAGCGCCGCCGGAGGTTTTGTTTCTTCACGCTAGGGTAATCCAGCATCAAAATCAACATTCAGTCCTCTGCGCACAATGTGCGCACGACTCCGGGGGCCCTGCTTTTCCCTGCTCGCTTGGGATTCCACCTCACAGCCCCGTCTCCCCGGCCAGAGCCTGGGTCCCCAGGGTCTGGCTCATAACTGGGGGTCAGCGCTGCCGGTTCTGGGGTTTAGCCCAGGCTGGGGGTTTTATTTCCTTCCTGCTAGGGAATGCCAGGCAGCACCCAGCCCTCTCCTCCTCTCCGGCTGCCACCTCTCCGCACACGTGCGTGCGAGCGTGCAGCATGTCTTCGTACCTTAGGCTTTTTTTCAGCTCCTCTGATTTTCCTTCTGGTTTTCTCTTTCCTTCTTGTTGTAGAATTTTCAGTCAGTTGACTACCTATAGCTCTGGGCGATGTCCACTTTACATTTTAGTTGTATTCCATTGAAATTGTTGTGTGCTGCTGGGGTTAGGTGTTTACCCGAGCAGCCATCTTGGATCCTCCCTTATATCCTATATTCTATTTTACTTTCTGTCTCTATGAGTTTGATTATACTAAGTACCTCTTATAAGTGGGATCATACAATACTTTTTCTTTTGTGTTTGGCTTATTTCAGTTAGCATAGTGTTTTCTAGTTTTCTTTATTTGAGACACTATTTTCTTCTTATTATTAAACAATTCTGCCTCTATTGGTCTTCCTGTCTTACTTGTTCTTTTTACTTAATTTTTTTTCTTTCATATATATATTTTGAGTTAATTTTTGTATGTGGTGTAGGGAAAACATTCAATTTTATTGTTTTGTACGTGCATGTTCAGTGTTCCAAGTACCATTTGTAGAAAAGATCATCCTTTCCCCATTAAATGGTTTTCCATCCTTCTCTAAAATCAATATACCATATATGTCAGGGTTTATTTCTGTTCCATAAAGTCTGTTCTTATGCCAGTCCCACACTGTTTTTGGTTACTGTAGACTTGTAGTAAGTTTTGAAATTGGGAACTGGAAATCTTTTAAGTTTATTCTTCATTTTTACAATTGTTTTGAATATTTGGGGCCCCTTAAGATTCCATGTGAATTTTAGGATAGGTATTTCTGCAAAAGAAGGCCATTAATGCCGAAACCGGTTTGGCTCAGTGGACAGAGTGTTGGCCTGCGGACTGAAGGGTCCCAGGTTTGATTCCAGTCAAGGGCATGTACCTTGATTGTGGGCACATCCCCAGTGGGGGGAATGCAAGAGGCAGCTGATCGATGTTTCTCTCTCATCAATGTTTCTAACTCTCTATCCCTCTCCCTTCCTCTCTGTAAAAAAATCAATAAAATATATATATTTTTTTTAAAAGAATGCCATTCATTTTTGATAGAGGGTTGCATAGCATCTGTAGATCATTTTGAATAGCATTCCCTTCTTAACAGTATTGTGTCTTCACATCTACCAACACAGGATGACTTTCCATATGTGGGTTATTTTTTAAAATAACTGTGAAAATGATACTTGCATATTATACAAAGACAGAAAATATGGTAAAGTACAAAGAAAGGAAGAACAAAGTACCCAAACCTCACTACTCATTGATAAATATTGTTAAATTTTTGGTGAACATCCTTCTGAACACCTCTTATTTAAAATTTTACATAAATAGAATCCATTTTTCTTACTTAACATATAATACGTATTTTTCAATGTGAATGACTAGATTTAAATCATGCTTAAGTGCACCCTTACAGACAGAAATTTAGTATGTTTTGGGCTCTGAGTAGTATTAATATCATAGTATTAATATTGGGAAAATAGTATAATATTGATGTTTTCTATTTTTTCTTTTGAATGAATAAGGGTACAAAGTTTTTCTCATAATCAATCAATTTTTGCTTATCTGATGTACTATAATGAGTAAGTGATAGATCTTTTTAAAAATATATTTTATTGATTTTTTTACAGAGAGGAAGGGAGAGATATAGAGAGCTAGAAACATCGATGAGAGAGAGACATCGACCAGCTGCCTCTTGCACACCCCCTATTGGGAATGTGCCTGCAACCAATGTACATGTCCTTGACCGGAATCAAACCTGGGACCCTTCAGTTCACAGACCGACGCTCTACCCACTAGCAAACCGGATCTTTTTAGTATGTTAGGTGCAACAATGAAAGGTAGAGAACCAGAAAATTTTTTTAGAGGTTCATTTGACCATTCAATAGCCCATTGAAAGAAATCACTTTGTAAAACCATAGGAACTATATTCAGTTTATTCTCATATTCCTGCCTTTCAGGAAGAAGGTATGGATTTAATAACTAAAGAAGCAAAAAATGAATGGTGAGTATTGTACTTTGAGTTACTATTCTGATCATTTGTATATTCAGTTACATATTTTCTTTTAGATAGGCTAACTGCAGTACTGATGTTTTGTGTGTGTGAGTGTGTTTTTCTTTTGTAGGGAGATACAAACTACAATACAAATACATCAGTCTTGGGAAGAAAATTTGAAATTGGTATGATATTAATACTTTAATTTCATAGAAAATGTTTATTGATTTCAATGTTGGTGCTGCCTAGATTTTCTGTAATTTCTAGAAATTGAAGCTCTCATTGGAAACTAAAATTATATATGCTGTATAAATTTTTGTTGTTGTTAACCCTCACATGAGGAAATTAGGATATTTTCCCATTGATTTTTAGAGAGAGTGGAAGAGAGGAAGGCAGGGGAAGAGAGAGAGAGAGAGAGACATTGACATGAAAGAGACATATCGATTTGTTGACTCTTGCATGCACCCAGACCTGGGACATAATCAAACCTGAAACCCAGGTACATGCCCTTGAATGGGAATCAAACCCACGACCTTCTGTGGGTGGGCTGATGCTCTAACCACTAAGCACACCAGCCAGGGCTGTATAAATAATGTTTATTGCTTTTAAGAAAGAGTTTATGATTTACCCATATAAATAAATAACATTGTTTGAAAGTGGGGTTCAAAGTAAATACTTGTCTGATACAAAACCATAATATTTGTGGATCAGCTTCCTCTCTATCCTAGTGGGTCTTTAAAAAGTTCATTTGTACTAATTAAATTGCTCAGATGACAAAACAATAAATTATTTCACTCACTTTTATATAAGTTATTAACTATATATTAGAGTTTTAATCCATAGACCTTGGATTTATTAATGTTTTCAATTGTAGGAAAATAGCCACATTTTTATGCCTGTAACATATATATTCCCGCTAATATTTTAACATTCAATTTTACCTTAAATGTATTTGGAATTTAGTTACATTACCTGCTAACATTTGTTAATATCTCTGTATATATTATGATTACTTAGTTGGGGTAGTTGAATGATGTTTAGGGTTGCTTTCCAGGGAAATCTCAAATTATTGCAGAATAAGAATTAGCTCAAATTTTATTAGAGGAGTTTGTGATTAGATGTCAATTTCCAGATTTGAGAATTATTAGAGAAGGAAAGGGGTCATCAGCAGAAGCAGTGACATCTTATTTTTCTTTGAGCTTGGAGTGCCTTAGATGAGCATCTATCCCTTATTCAGTAGTCCTGAAGAAAGAGTAAGGATCCCTGGAGCCTGTCACTTTTCAAAATTTGGTGCTAATACAAGTTATAGATGCATTGATTTCCCTTTACTGATTCAATTCTGATCACTTTAGTTGTTGGTATGAGTGAATCTGTGAGTGTATTAGGAGGAGAAAAGGAACATGTAATATAACTTGTGGCCTGGAAAAGAAAAGAGCACATTTTTAAAAGTTATAACTTTATTGATTTTAGAGAGAAAGGGAGAGGGAAAGAGAGATAGAAACATCAATGATGAGAGAGAATCATTGATTGGCTTCCTCCTGCATGCTGCACACTGGGGACTGAGCCTGCAACCAGGCATGTGCCTTGACTGGGAATTGAACTGTGACGTCCTGGTTCATAAGTTGACACTAAATCACTGAGCCACACCGCTGGGCATGAAAAGAGGACATTTTAAAATTCAGAATTATGTGGTGCTGACTTTTGTCTACATAAAAATCTATAAACATATTAATAGCTATAGTTATTTTTGTTCTCCCATTTGTGTATTAGTTCTAACCATTTTTTTTACTCCTTCCTAGATATACTATTGTAGTTTTCAATAATAAAGCATAGGTCAAACCCAAAGAGCAAAAAAATTTTAATTTAGTATTTGTGGGTATATTGCTCAAAATTGAGAACTCACATTCTTGGTCTTTTTGGGCACTAGGGAAGCCCTCAACTACCATGTGGCTCTCTTTCACAAAAGACAAATGGTATCTTTGTTTATTGTGAGTCTTGGATTCCATGCTTGCTTTAGGATGGTAAGAGCTGTACATCATGGTACGACCACTGACTCAGTAAGAATTTCCTTCCTTAGGCAAAAGCTTATTTCCCTAATTATTTGATAGGTAAGCAATTGGTGCTACAATTGTACACTGTTTTCTGTTTACACAGAGTGACAACAATTTAAAGTAACCATGTTCCCTAAATTGTATTGATTTAATTCCAGTATCCTCAGCAGCTTCTCCCACCAGGGATATTGGGAAAGTAAGAGAAAAGTTACTAAAAGTCTATGTCCCTTGAAATGTTTATGAAACATTAATGATTCTCCATTCAAATCTTTTAGGAGATATGTGTTGTTATAATATATTTTATTCTCAATGATAGCTTTTCCTTTCTTTTCATTTCCGAAACTATTATTTACATGTAACAAAAGTCACCAACTTTCAAGTATACAATATGATTAATTTGGTAATTGTGTGCAATACTGTAACCATGATCAAGATACAGAACAGTTCCCATACTCTAAACAATTTCCTCATAATCTTTTGCACTTGATCTCCTTTTCCTTCCTACCCCTGCTCACTCTAGGAAACCACTAATCTGTTTCTGAGAAAAGTGGTAGGGTTTTTTTGTTTGTTTGTTTGTTTGTTTGTGTTTTAATTTTATTGAAATTATTGGGTGACATTGGTTAATAAAATTATATAGGATTAGATGTACAATTCTACAATATTTCATTTGTATATTGTATTGTGTGTTCACTACTCCAAGTCAATTCTCCTTCCATCACCATTTATCCCCCCTTTACCTTCTTTAATCTTCCCCCACCCCCTTTCTCTCTGGTAATACCATACTTTGTGAGTTTTGGAGGGTTTTTTTTTTATTTGTTTGTTTTATTTTGTTTTGTTTTGCTTAGTTCCTTCACCATTTACCCAGCCCTGCAACCCCCATCCCTTCTGACAGCTGCTAGTCTATACTTTGTATCTATCCGTCTGTTTTTGTTTTTGTAATTTTTTATATTCTCATTTATTTTTATTTTTGGCAGTTTTATAATTTCACATGAGTTTGTTTTGTTTGTTAATCTAGTTCATTAGATTCCACATATAAGTGAAATCATTGAAATAAGCCACTCAGAGAAAGAAAAGTGGCAGCTTTAAAACCTCTTTTCAATTTGGTTTCAGAAGTGCTTTTCTCCATTATTACTAACTTAAGGGAATTTCACCAATTTGATTGCAAGCCCTATTCCCAGTCTTACACAACAATTTGCAATGTAAGTTCAAATGAAAATACCAAATTGCTTATAAAATAAGAATTTTAGAAATATAAAATAAATTATATGCCCTAACTTGTATGGCTCAGTATATAGAGCATCAGCCTTCGGACTGAGGGGTCCTGGGTTCGATTCCGGTCAAGGGCATGTACCTTGGTTGGGGACACATCCCCAGTAAGGGGTGTGCAGGAGTCAGCTGATTGATGTTTCTAACTCTATCCGTCTCCCTTCCTCTCTGTAAAAAATCAATAAAATATATTTTAAAAAGAAAAGAAATTATAGCTCCAGGTTCTGTGACAAAGAAATGTCTTTTTAGCTACATTAAAATGTAATTGCTTGGGGTTTATAATTTTGTATATTGAAAAGAATCAAATAACTGAGAATATGTGAACATAATGAATCAGTAATTCATTAATCTTGTTTGAAAATAATCTTCTGATGAGCAAGCTTGTTGATAAGGATCAGAGCTAATTCTCAACTTTAAACAACTGTATCTGCTAATTTACCCGTGATTCTTACTTGATTCAAGGCAAGTCAAGGCCAGGACTGCAGATCATTCCAGCTCTTTCCCCAACAATTTAGGAAAATCCTGAATCCCTATAAATTAGAAGAGAATTTTCTGTCCTTTGGCATTTCTATTTTTACCTAGATTTAGAGAAAAGCAGTAAAATGATGTGATGTAAGGTACTATACAGTCTCCTTTTAAAGTCTATGTTCTAAGGTCTGTTATAATGAAATAGTCATAGATAGCTGATTTTGTTCTAAAATTTCCTTGTAATGATTGTGATCATTTTATTTTAGAAGAAGTCAAAGTTCTACCAACATGATTAGACCAAATATCCCCAGATCATTATCTATCAGCAGAAATAAATATAGCTTTGAATTATTCTTATTAAATATTTTATAAAATCAAGTGTTATACAAAATTTTGTCTTAAATGATTTATTTATAATATGTTTGATAAGTTACTAGATAACATTTATTTTACTGAAATGAAACTATATGTAAAGGTATTTTGAAAGCTATAAAGTACCATATAACTGTAAATTGAGAAAATTAATTCCCATTTAGTCAATGGTTATGATTTTTATGATGTGAGTAGAATTCACCAAGCTAGCTGCCATAAATGCTTTCTGGAAAAAAAAAAAGGTAGGAAATGAACAAATGAACAAATAAATAGAGTAAATCAGTCATCAACTATTCTGCTGAATGTCAACCCCTACCTTACCTCGCCACCACATATACATGTTGATATCATATGAACAAGTGACAGAAATTAGATACACTTAGAACACCAACATATATGTTAAAGTTCAATGTTTTACTTCTTTATGAGAGCTATTTTTGTTTAAATATATGGAAAATGACCCACCTACTCAGGAACAAAATGGCAATAAAAAACTGAATTTATTTTAATTCCTATAATCCTAGATCCCTGATCTAAACTTTGCTTCACTAAGCTATGTTCTTCCTATTTTGTTAACACCACTACCGGATTATAGGCTTAGTATCAACTTTAAATGTGATAGGAAGGGAAAATGATAAAGGAGATAAAACTTTTAAAATGTGTATTTGCAAAAAAAATTCATTAAGATGGGAAAGAAGAAGTAGTAGTAGGAGACAGGAAAGGAGAAGAGTAAAACTATATGGAAAGAAATTGAAATGTACTTCAATGTTCATTGTATTTTGGATTAATTCATGGCAGTCTTCCTACCATTATACCTAGCTCAGCATGTATTTATTATATTCTAAGACTAAGACTAGATCAATTCTGGAAAATACTCTTTTCCAAAGTAAAGGCATTGTGTTATGAAGATGGCTCAATGACCTAGCTTAGGGGTCTTTTGCCGGTTCTATGAAGTTTGGGCTAGTGTTGAAAAAAAAAACAAAAACATTCAAGTATATTAACAGTTAAATAGCTATTAGGGAGTTGGGATTATTTGAGTATTTTTTTTAAAAAAAAAGCTTAAGTCAAAAACAGTTTTACTAAATTAAATTAATTCTCCTTTAATCATTTACTCATACAATGTTTTATTACATTGAAACTCCCTGGCATTTACTTAGAATTTATGATTTAAAATTGTTTTTATATTGCAGTTTTGGCATAATAGACTCGATTTTGGCTCAGTACATTGGTGGGCATGGCATGTCACTTGCAAGCTTCTTGTTCCTGGTTTTCAGCTGCTCTGAAAGATGACTGCCTCGTTTATTCAAGTTGTCCCTAAGATTTCCAAAGCAAGTTCTATATATACCTCATGGCCTATATTTAAAGTCATACCCTCCTAAACATAACTTATACTAATATGTTACAAATCCATCTGATCTTTCAGATGCAGTAACAAATTAAGCAGATAAAGGTTAGAGTCTCCAAGCATATGAAGGCATACTCTGTGAAAACAAGCAGCAATTTCTTCCATTGGGAATTAGCAAGAGAAAATAAAGCTTCAAGTGGGAGTTCTGAGAAAAATGCAGAAATTGGGCAGCTATAATATTGTTGTATAAGTAATAATGGTTTTAGCAAATAAATTTTTAATTATTTTATTTGATGAACTTGTTTTAATTTGTCTCATCTTTAATATAAACCAAAAATAAGAGATGAGTCATTTTTCCCTAATGGTGTCAGTGTAATCTTACATGGGATAGGATAGCTTTTTGAGCTTTATGAACCATGATAATACTCCTAAGGAAGGTTTGGGGAAATTGTTTCTATGGGTATTTTTTAATGAGTAGAGGCATTCGTGTTTTAGCATTTAAATATATTCCACCCTAGAAGTTACAGACTTGGACATCAGTTTTTCTCATAGCCAGATATGGTTATCACATGGAATGTGTAACAATGTACATTATTTTAACATTTATTTCAAGGTGCAGGTTATAGTAGTGCAGTTTTTGGAGATTAGATGTTTCTCCTTAATCTTTAAAAACATTTATTTTGTTCATTGTATGCTACAAAGAATTTATCATTTATATTTAGTTCATTGTGCATTATTAGCAAAATAAAGATAGCAATGACCTAATGGTTTAAAGTAAGAAATAAGATTAAATTATGAAACAGCCTTACTATATAGCTATATAAAGCCAGGCTTTGGAATTTAGTGAATACTATGATAAAATTACAATCATTAAAAATAAGAAGTAGATTACATATTGGTATTATATATAGTAAAAATCCAATTTAGTTTGAAAAAAAGTGTATGTACATACAAATATTCAGTAATTACTAGAAACTGGTCATCTCTGAAATGTTCTTTCTTTGTGTTTTCCCTGTATTTTATAAACTAACCAAATGATCAAGTTTTACTTATTTTTTAAAATATATTTTTATTGATCTCAGAGAGGAAAGGAGAGGGAGAGAGAAACATCAGTGATGAGAGAGAGTCATTGATTGGATGCCTCCTGCACTCCCCTCCCGGGATTGAGTCTGCAACCCAGGCATGTGCCTTTGACCTGAATCCAACCCGGAACCCTTCACTCTACAGGCCGATGTTCTATACACTGAGCCAAACTGGGTAGGACAAGTTTTACTTTTGCAATGAAAAACATAATAAACATATTAGATGAAATATATTTATACCTTGATCTTTTTTTTTTTTTTTTTTTGTCATAGGTGAAATGATATTTGAAGATCAGCCAAAGAGATTTTTCCAAGGCAAAAACCAATGTGGTTTATTCTGATACTACCCAGCTGTCTGATGTAAATGTGTGGTGAGTCTTTGTTATAAAAATATTTTTATTGATTTTAGAGAAGAAGGAAGAGGAAGAGAGAGAAACATCAATGATGAGAGAGAATCATTGATCAGCTGCCTCCTGCAGACCCCAAACTGGGGATCGAGCCCACATCTTGGGCATGTGCTCTGAACAGGAATTGACATCCTGGTTCATAGGTCAATGTTCAACCGCTGAGCCATGCTGAATGGGCGGTAGTGAGTACTTAACATGAGGTTTAAAATATTCAGTGATCATTTTCACTTAATTTTTAAGTCTATTTTAGCTATTGTATATATTCACAAGTATGGTATATTATTTTCTAAAATATATTTTATTGATTTTTACAGAGAGGAAGAGAGAGGGATAGACAGTTAGAAACATCGATCAGCTGCCTCTTGCACACCCCCTACTGGGGATGTGCCCGCAACCAAGGTACACGCCCTTGACTGGAATCAAACCTGGGACCCTTCAGTCCGCAGGCTGACACTCTATCCACTGAGCCAAACCGGTTAGGACACAAGTATGGTATATTATTAAATACTAGAGGCCTGGTGCAAGAAACTCGTGCCTGGGAAGGGGGTCCCCTCAACTTGGCCTGCACTCTCTCCAATCTGGGTCCCTCTGGACCTGTGGCTCATAACAACTCACCTGCCTGCGAGCCTGATCCTTCTAACTGCTCTCCCCTGCCTGCCTGATCGCCTCTAACCTCCTCTGCCTTTGCCCTGCCAGCATGGCTTTGTCGGAGAGGACGTCAGGAAGGACATCCGGAAGGTCATCCTGAAGATGTTCAGTCTAATTAGCATATTACCCTTTTATTAGTATAGATTTCTGGAAGTTATAAAATTAATATCCCAAAGAGATACCATTAACTTGAGTTCTCCTCCCTAGCATTTATGTGTTACATTAACCATGGGTATTAGATTAAGAGGTATTAGAGAAATACACAAAAATGCAAGATTGGAAAAAAGTAATCTTCTGCCCATCATTTCTACCTTGGATTTTTGTGTGTCTTGTTAGATGGAGGATATTATTGAAAAAGCATGTTTTAATAATCAAAAAGGGAAATTCAATGAATGGATTTTTATTTATTGTTACTATTGGTTTATTTTGCTGCTCTTATAAGTAGTGCCATTTTTTTTTTTTTTTTCTTCATATATTTTGCATTTATTTGTAGATAAGGTAGAGTACACAGAGGGCTTTTGAATTATTTTTGTTGTTGTTGTTCTTAATCCTCACCTGAGAATATTTTTCCATTAATTTTTTAAAGAGAGTGAAACGGATGGAGGGAAGGAGAGAGAGAGAAACATTGATGCGAGGGAGACACATCAATTGGTTGCCTCCTGCATGAGCCCCAAACAGAGCCAGGGACCAAACCTGCAACCCAGGTACATGACCGGGAATCAAACCCACGATGCTTCAATCCAAGGGTTGATGCTCTAATAATTTTGCAAAACTAGAAAGGCCTTGAATTCTTTTATCAATAAGTGGTATTTTCTTTTTCTAATCTATCATTTGTTCAGACAATTTTGATGGAAACAACAGCAATATAAGATCTCCTTGTATTTCACTGGCTAAAATCAGAACTGTCACAAATTCTCCTGTGTCACCTGCTGATTCTAGTTCTTTATATATTATAGTTGATAGTTGAACTTTCAACTAAGTGATTCACCCATCCCAAGACTTTCTCACCATTGGAGAAACACATGTGGGCATTCTCTTGCTGATGTACTGCATCTCTCCCCTCTCTCTCTCTCTCTCTCTCTCTCTCTCTCTCTCTCTCTCTCTCTCTCTCTCTCACACACACACACACACACACACACATAAGTTGAAGCAATAACATAATTGTATATATAATTTAGATTATTTCCTATTTATTTTTCTCTAAAATTCTGTGTATTTATAGAACTTGAATGTCTATGTCCTGTGTATGCCCTTAAAAGTAATGTAGTAATATTTTCAATGATATTTTTCAAATAAGGACTATGTTGAAGATACAGTTGCTAATATATAGAAGCATGCTGAACAATTGTTAAAAGCAATTGAGAGCTCTATTTATTTATGTGAATACATAAATAAAATTCTGTCTTGATGGAATATTAATGGTAAAATGATTTTTAAAGATTATATACTGAATGTCCATGTTACTTTTTAATATTTTCAGTAATTGCTAGTTTCCACTTGGTATGGAAAAATCAGCTATTACAAGATGTTTTTAAAACTAAGCTAGTTGTAGCATACTGATCCAAGGATTGCCTATTTTACACATGGATCCTTGGATATTTAATTTCTTAGGAAGCAATAATGGAAGCAAGATGAATAAAAGCTATATGTCATTTGACCCAGTAATCCCACTTCTAGAACCATATCCCAAGCAATCATAAATAATATATGTACCATTATTTCATAGCAGCTCAATTTACAATAGCTAACATTTGGAAGCAGCCTAATTGCCAATCAGCAGATGAATGGATTAAAAACTGTGGTACATCTACACAATGGAATACTATGCTTCTGTAAAAAAGAAAGAACTCTTACCATTTTCAACAGCATAGATGAACCTGAAGAGCATTATGCTAAGTGAAATAAGGCAGTTCGAGAAAGCTAAGTATCACATGATCTCACTCATTTGTGGAATATAATGAACAATATAAACTGATGAACAAAAATAGATACAGAAATTTAGAAGCATAGAACAGACCATCAAACCTCAGAGGGAAGGCAGGGTATTGGGGGAGGGAGGGTAAGAGATCAACCAAAGGGCTTGTATGCATATAAGCATAACCACTGGACACAGACAGTAGGAGGGTGAGGGCCTGTGCTGGATGGGGGATGGAAGTGGGTGGGGAGAAGTCAATGAGGAAAAAAGGAGACATCAACAATAAAGAATTTAAATTTTAAAAAGCTAATTGAGCCGAGACCGGTTTGGCTCAATGGATAGAGCGTCGGCTTGGGGACTGAAGGGTCCTGGGTTCGATTCCAGTCAAGGGCATGTACCTTGGTTGCGGGCATATCCCCAGTAGGGGGTGTGTAAGAGGCAGCTGATCGATGACTCTCTCTCATCGATGTTTCTGACTCTCTATCTCTCTCCCTTCCTCTCTGTACAAAATCAATAAAATATATTTAAATAAATAAATAAATAAATAAATAAATAAAATAAACTTACCAAGTTTACTAACAGCCAATCATTAAAATAAATAAATAAATAAATAAGTAATAAAAAGCTAATTGATAGGAAAAAATAATACGTAATTGAGGCTTCGTTCAATTTGCACTTTTACCTGATTATCCCTGATCAATTTTATATTCTAATTAAGTGTGAAAAAAAGACAATGTCAATAAATTGTGGTCTTTCAAATTTCTATAAATAATGTATTATTCATCGTCATGACTACTGATTTGATTAAATAGAGATTTAATATGTTAGGGCTCTTTTCTGCAAGAATTATGTTCTTTTAGTTGCTCCCTAAGGGCTATAAATATTTGTTAAGCCCCAATTTTCTAATCCAAAGTCTAAAGGTGTTTCTTTAAATAATACCATGTGTTAAAACATTTAAACCTAAAGTGTTTTAAGTAATTGAAGATAGTTTCAGCATTTTGAAAATAGAAATCTATCTTCATGAAATGAAGTTTAAATTTCCTCACTAACGAAATAGGAATGATTATTTAAAATATTTATAAAAGTTTTCCTTTATCATTGGAAATAATCAGCATGTTGGAAATTTGATGTAAGTATGCCCCATGCTGTGGCACCAACAAATTTTTTCACAATGGCCCTGATGGAATTGATTAGAATAGATATATATGTAGGGGGAAATTCTATTTACCTGTGAATAAGTGAATATTTATGAAATGACTGGGATCATGATGGTCTTCAATCCTGAAACTAGGATAGGATTCTACTTTGCTAAGGACAAGTGAACTATCACTATGGCCTTTTTTTTTTTTACCCAGCTTCTCTACTTGCCAGACCTTTAGTGGGTCAATTGTGAATATATAAGAGGACCCTCATGGAACAAGGTGTGATTGCTGTCATGTTCATTGCTGAAATTGTTGATCATTGACAGACAAAAAAGTACTCATACATTATTGGCACTTTAGAAAAAAAAATGTTTTGTAGTATGTTCAGGTACAAAGACTATGGATGGAGAAAGTGAACAATGCAGGTGAGACTACTACTCTGTTGTATAAGGAACTTTAATCAATAAATTTTGGTAAACTTGACTGTCTCAATATACTTATCTCAACTCCAACAATTTAACTTTATTCAGTTAATTTTAGTTGTACCCTAGGATGCCACACTCACTGTAATATGCTCAGAATCAAAGATTTTCCATTCTGCAGTCTTTTGAACTTATGTGTTAGGAGGATCCATTTCTTAAATGATTTTTCATTTATTGCTTTTCAGATCAATGCAAATATAATTTTTTCATGATATTTTGTGGTTGATTTTTCAAAATTATGGTAAGACTTATTTTGTTATCCTAAACATGCCAAGAGATTGTCATATCAGTTTTCCATAGTGAAGGACATATGTTAGTTTCCTGTGGCTTCTATAACAAAATACCACAAACAGCCTAAAACAAGCATATCAAACTCAAAGGCTAACATGGGCCAGATAAACAAGGTTTATGTGGGCCGCAAAAAAACAAAAGCTTCAATTTTCATAGAAACGTAGGTTTATTTCAACAGAGGCATGGTGAATACAAAGGGTTAAGATAAATGAGTAATTATTAATATAAAATAATATAACATATTAATAAAAATTAATATTTTTTCTTGAACATTAACTTTTCAAACACTGAATATCTGCACAAATTAGTAAGCATAATGCAAATAAAACTATTTTTTCTTGTTCTTCGAAAGTGAAATATTTCCTGTTGTGCACACCAAACAAGTTAGTCCAAGACTAATGACAGGGCAATTGGCTGCTAAAATATTCACTGCTAGTATTAGTGGAGAGAAATGATGCGCCTGCCCATAAGGCGTGTAAGGGAAATGAATACAACATGATTATGGTAATCAGTCATTATCGAATATTGTAGTTCATTATTAATAATCCTATATAATAAAAGCCTAATATGCAAATTGTCCTCTCAACTAGTTCAATCAGGACATTGACTGCTCGATATGATGTGCACTGACCACCAGGGGGCAGCATGGAACATGGCAGGTGTTGGCAATGCAGTGCTGGCAACAGGCGGCAGTGGAGACACTGCCAGCCCCGATGGGCCCTGACGAGAGCAGGACCATGGTGGGATGGTGGAGCAGGTGAGTGGGCAACACCAGGCCAAGGCAGGTGTGAGCAGGGCCCAATCCCCCACCTATTGCCCCACAGACTGCAACCAGTGGCAGGGAGAGATGGCACCACCTGGCTCCCAGGCACTGAGGCCCGATGACTCAGGTGGAGGGGGACACATGGGGGCCCAGGGACCCAGGTGCTACTTAGGGCCCACAGGTTAGCTGGGACCTGCCCTTCCACACCAGACAATCCCTGCTTCGATTGCTGGCCAGGACTAAGGACCACGCCCATGCATGAATTTCGTGCACCAGGCCTCTAGTTATGTATAACAGGATATTGTAAAAATTAAGTTATGAAATTTTTATCAAAATGTTTCTTACATACTATTATATTGGCTGGTGTGCAAAAAATATTCGTTGTGGGCTGTGAGTTGGACATGGTTGGCCTAAAACAATAGACATGGATTATCTCACAGTTCTTGAAATTCTAAAATTCCAAGATCAAATTTTCAGCAGAATTGGTTCCTTCAGGAGGCTCTGAGAGAGAATCTGTTAATGTCTCTCTCCTAGCTTCTGGTAGTTGCTGGAAATCCTTGCCTTACAGACATATCACTCCAATCTCTGTCTTCATCATGGGATTCTCCCTGTGTCCCTGTGTTATCATATGGCCTTAAAAAATATAATAGCTGACATTCAGTATTATATTAGTTTTAGCTATGCAGCATAATGCTTAGGCATTCATATAATGTACAAAGTGGTCTTCCCAATAAGCCTAGTATCTATCTGGCACCATACATAGTTATTACTATACTAGTAGCCCATCACGTGATATCGCGCATAGTAGGCTGCCCATTGCTTCCGCAGGAGCCAGAGGGAACCGCAGCGTGCTGCCCATGGGAGCCAGAAAGGAGCTGTACCACTTCTGTGGGAGCCGGAGGGACCCGTGCTGTTTCCGCGGGAGGCCGGAGGGACCCACGCTGCTTCCATGGGAGGCAGGCCCGCTGTCTCCTTTTGGTGCTTGTGCTCAGCTTCGGAGGTTGTGGGGCAGCCCCTGTCCCTGTTCGTGTCTGCTCCAGCTCTGGGGGGCTGGCCTGAGCCGGGCATGGTGGCTTGCCAGCCCCGTCTCTGTCTCTGTCTCCACTCTAGGCCTCACCTGTGCGCACAACCCCCTCCTGTATGGTCGTGACCCATTATGAAGTCCTGGCCTAATTTGCATATTTCCTCTTTATATAGATTATTGTCTATGTTCTCTGTGTTCCATTTTACATCCCCATGACTATTTTGTAATGTAATGGCCAATTTGTGCTTACTTCTTAATCCCTTCATCTTTTTCACCCAGCGCCCCCCATCTGGCAACCATCAGTTTTTTCTCTGTATCCATGAGTCTATTTCTGTTTTGTTTGTGCCATAGAAGTAGGAAAGGCAATATTAGTATAGGAATCACAAAATTTTTGAACATAGAGGAATTTAGAAGTCTTTTTTTTTTAACATGTTTGTACTGATTTTAGAGAGGAAGGGAGAGGGAGAAAGAGAGAGAAACATTGATCAGTTGCCTCTCTTATGCACCCTGACCAAGGATCAAACACACAACCTGGGTATGTGCCCTGACAAGGAACTGAACTGGCAAACTTTCTGTGCATGGAACGATGAAGCTCCAGCAACTAAGCCACACTGGCCAGGGTGGATTTTAATCTATTGTACTTCTCAATTCAAGAATCATTTTTGAGAATTCCAGACAGATTATCTTTTAGCCTTAGTTTGAAATCTTGTAGTAATAAACCAACTCCCTCACATGACAGTTAATTCTATTGCTGGACAATACCCTTTCACTCATACATGGAATCTAATGAACAAAATGAACTAATAAGCAAAATAGAGACAGACCCATAGATAGAGAGTAGGTTGATAGTTTTTTTTGGGGGGGAGGGTGTTGGGAGGCTGAGGGTGGTGGTGGAGGAATTGAGCCAATAAAAAGAGAAAAAAATCAAGGACAGGTACAACAGTGTGATGATTGTGGGGGTTGAGCTGGGGAAAGGTCAAGAAGGGTATAGGGGGGATAAATGGTGATGCAAGGAGACTTGACTTGGGGTGGTGAACACAAATATACAATTAGAATTGCATTGTGGAATTGTGCATCTGAAATTTGTATAATTTTGTTAACCAGTGTCACCTCATACAATTCAATAGAAGGGGGGGAAAGGAAGCTTACACATTAAAAAGGGATGTGGGGTTAGAACTTATATCAAAGTGGCCTGTTTTATTGGCTCTTCAGAATTAAATCAAATCAAATGAGCTATTAAAAGCCCACGAGTTAAGATTCTACTTCTTTATTAATCGCCATCCCTGCTCTTTGAATTATTAGTACTTCCACTACAGGATATATTTAATCTCATCTTCTAAATGAATTTTTAAAATTCACCTAGAAGCAACTATATATAAATATCCATGATGAAAATGCATGTATGGTACTTTAAATATCTATGGAGAAAACTAATTATAATTTGCCTGAAGTGTTTTTAAATATTTTAGAACATAAAAGTTGAGCTTGAAAAACATATCATATAGGTAGACTTCACTGTCAAATAATTGAAATTGTACATTTAGAAAAGGCCAAAGAACAGTAAGTACTCTGAAAAAAGATTGTTTTGTTTTCCGTAAAGTCCATATTTCACAGATTTCTTAAAATGTGGTTCTTAACGCAAGAATAAATAAGATTGATTTTTACAAATGTCTATAATGTATAGGTGGAGAGAATCATATATCATATAGGACTCTTGGAAACTGAAGAACTTTCTTTTTTTTTAATATATTTTTATTGATTTTTTTACAGAGAGAAAGGGAGAGAGATAGAGAGCTAGAAATGTCGATAAGAGAGAAACACAGACCAGCTGCCTCTTGCACACTCCCTACCAGGGATGTGCCCGCAACCAATGTACATGCCTCTGACCGGAATTGAACCTGGGACCTTTCAGTCCGCAGACCGATGCTCTACCACTGAGCCAAACCGGTTTCGGCTGAAGAACTTTCTGAACAGTGGAAACTTGCTCAACTTTCTTAACAGTGGGAGACTTAATGACTATGTTCTATCAAAGTAAATGCATCAAATAAATATAGTTATTAACTAAATCCTATAAATTGAACAATAACATAGATATATGAAATTGGAGAACTCTGTGGATTATTGATGTCAAAGTAAACTGGTAACATAATTGTTCATGTCAAACTTTTAGAGAAGTGACGAGACTACATTATCAGTGAGTACAGGAGTCAGGAGACCTGACTTGTAACTCCCGCTCTATCATTAGCTCTGTATGACTTTGTGAAGTCACTTCACCTCTGTGGGCTTCAGATTTCCAATCTGTAAAGTGTAGTTGGACTATATATTTATAAGGTCCCTTCTGTCTCTTAAAATTTTATTGATTGTGTAAAAACATCTGCCTTCATCTTGCTAGCATGACAGTGAAAGTCACAATGGCATTCAACTTCAAAAGACTTTAAGAAAATATTTAGGAAATTAGAGAGCTTTATTACCTAATGTTTTTATTCTTTCTGGCAACAAGAAACTCATTTTGTTCAGCCTCATCAATAGTTTCCTCTCCTCTATGAATTATGCATGCTTTGTGAAGAAATGTGGAAAGCTAATTTTCCCCCGGTTTCTTGTTTTGTGTGGATAAATGATCCTCTCAGGATTTCCATGTTAATAACAACTTCCCATTGACAAACCACTCATCATAAAATTTTTCTTCTACTGTAACTACCGCTTGAAACAAAATAAAATAAAGATATACTTGGTACGCTTGCTTCAGAGAAGTGAAGGAGATGGGGCCTAAAGCTACATCAACTATAAAAACTCTGTACCAATATACATTTGGAAGTACTCAACTAGTACTAAAAAGCATACTGCCAGCAAAGTAACTTTTGCTTTTTCTTCAATAATTATCAAATGGCTATAAGAAAATACTCTATCTTCAGTTTACTTGATTTCTTGGCATGACTCCTGTGCTTGGGAATTCTCCATTAAACACAAGAGAAAAAGGACACATTTGAAAGTTGCAGACAGCTGGTTTGTGATTTTTGTGCTGAGGAAGAAAATATTTGAAATTACATTATACAGCAGAGAAACCTACAGTAATTACACTTTCCATTTCTAGTCTCTCTCTTCTGAGAAGAAGGGTTTAGATTGCTTCCTTAAACTAAACTTATATTAAATTCTGCAGTGGTTTACATCGAGTACTATTCTTGGATATAATCTTTCCATAAGTGTGAGGTCTTTGGAAAGGAGGGTACTGAAGCTAGGATTTTGGGGCTGTTGAGAGAAGTTCACTAAAACTCCCTTAAGCTTGATCTGGAATACATTCTCATATCACATGGATGAGCACAGATTAAAAATATTTTTTGAAATATGCAAGGCTGTTGATAGTGTGGAGAAGGTGGTATTTGAATTCACTATGATAGATTCTTAATGTCATTTCTGGAAGAAGTTTGATGGTATACATTAAAAAAAGCCTTCAAAATGTGCACATTTTTAATATATATTAATGCTTCTAGGAATTTTTCTTAGAGAAAAATATTGGACAGGTTGAAAATGATGTTTACTATAATCTTATTTGTAATTGTGTAAAACCTAATGTTTTCAACAAATGCTGGGGCAACTGGATATCCACATGCAAATAATGATATTGGACTCAAACTCACTCTGTATACAAAAATTCACTCAAAATGGATCAATGGCATAAATGTTAAGAGCTGAAAACAGCTGAAACCGATTTGGCTCAGTGGATAGAGCATCAGCCTGAGGACCAGAAGGTCCTGGGTTCGATTCCAGTCAAGGGCATGTACCTGGGTTGCTGGCACATCCCCAGTGGGGGGTGTGCAAGATGCAGCTGATCGATGATTCTTTCTCATTGATGTTTATAACTCTCTGTCCCTCTCTCTTCCTCTCTGTAAAAAATCAATAAAATATATTTTTTTAAAAGAGCTGAAACGAATAAACTTAGCGAAAAAAGGAATAAATCTTTATGCTCTTAGACTTAGCAATGAATTCTTAGAAATAGTACCAAAAGCATGAGCAACAAAAGAAAAAAATTATCATTGGACTTCATCAAAATTAAGAACTTTTGTGCATCAAAGGACATTAACAAGATAGTGAAAAGACAATCTTTAAAATGAGAAAAATGTTTGTAAATCATATCTGATAAGGGTTGAATCCAGAATATATAAAGACTCCTATAACTCAAAAAAAAAAAAAAGATAAGCAATTCAATTGAAATATGGGCAAAGAAAAAAATATGGCAAAGGACTTTATGAATAGATATTTCTCCAAAGAAGATATACAACTGTCTATGAAAAGATGTTCAACAATATTAGTCATTAGAGAAATGCAAATTAAAACTAGAAAGGTAACACTTTATACCCACTAAAATGGCTACAAAATAGAAGATAGATAATAACAAGTTGTGGTAAGGATATGGAGAAATAAGAACCATATGCATTGGTAGTTAGAATGCAAAATGTAAAATCATGCAGTGACATTGGAAAACTGTTTGGCAGTTCTTCAAAGTATTTAGAGGTACATGCAGGAGGCAACCATTTTTTAAAAAGTATATTTTATCAATTTTTTACAGAGAAGAAGGAAGAGGGATAGAGAGCTAGAAACATCGATGAGAAAGAAACATTGATCAGCTGCCTCCTGCACCACCCCACCAGGGATGTGCCTGCAACCAATGTACATGCCCTTGACCAGAATCGAAACTGAGACCCTTCAGTCCACAAAAGGACGCTCTATCCACTGAGCTAAACCGGTTTCGGCAGGAGGCAACCAATTGATCTGTTTCTCTCACATCAATATTTCTCTCTGCCTTTCCCTCTCTCTTCTATTCTCTCTAAAAATAAATGGAAAAATACCCTCTGGTAAGTAAAAAGAAAAAAAAAACCTAACACTAAAGGATAAGGTGAGGCATCATTTCTCAGAGTGTTTTAGAAAATGTAAATAAGTGTCCTGAAGAATTAAAGAAGGAGGAGGCCACAGGCAATCTATGGTCAAGTAAGTTTGGGAAATTCAGTTAAATTTGTTTCTTTAACATTGTGAAAACCCAAAATTGGAATATAGTATGGAACATTTTATTTTTTCAATTTTGAAAATTTTTTTTTATTGATTTCAGAGAGGAAGGGAGAGGAGATAGAGAGATAGAAACATCAATGATGAGAGAGAATAATTGATTGGCTCCCTCCTGTCCGCCCCCTACTGGGGGGAGGAGGATCAAGCCTGCAATCCAGGCATGTGTCCTTGACTGGAATTGAACCTGGGACCGTTTAGTCCACAGGCCGACACTCTATCCACTAAGCCAAACCAGCTAGGGCTGGTATGGAACATTTTAAAACTGTTTAACCAAAATTCTTTTTTGAGGATCATCTTATAGGATTGCTGTAATGTAGAATACCTTTAAGGAAACATAGAGTTAAACAAATTATAGTACCTTCATCCCATAGAAATCTTCACACCCATTAAGAATGATGACACAGTATCATATATCACTTGACATGGAAGGATGTTTACACTATATTGTAAAGTTAAAAAACAGTGTGATTAATGGAATCTCATTTTTGTTTTTAAAAATTATGTGTATATATATATTTACATATATATATATATTTACATATATATATATATGTATATATATATATATAAAATGGATAAATAGCAGGCAGTCTGTAAAGCTATATGCCAATATATAATTGATAAATAGCAGACAGTCTGTAAAGCTATATGTCAAAATGTTCAAGTCTTTGGGGGGTGGGAAGATGAATGATTTTATTTTCATTTGCTTTTCTCTTTTTATTTTCAGTTTTTTCAACATGGAATATCTATTACTTGTATAATCAAGAAATAATAGAATTTAAAATAAACATTATAGGAAGTAGTTATTAATTGTGTGAGGGAAGGGATGAGAAGATCAGAACTCCCTTATCACTGTTGGACTCTTTACTTACTTCTGTTTGAATTTTCAATGAAAGAAAGTCAAAGGGCCTTTAAACTATTAAAGAATTCTACTCATTCAAAAATTCTTCCTGATATTGAATTAAAATCTACCTTCCATCCATTGGTCCTAATTTGTTATTGGGAATGCCATAAAATAAGCAAAATCCATTTTCTCTCCCATAGATATAAACTTTCGAATATTTGGCAACAGCTACATGTCTCCACAAAACTTTTCTCCTCTAGGTTTCCATTCTAGTCTTTTTTTTTTTTTCTTCTATGAGATGGTTTCCAGGCACTATTACTATCATGGCCTTGGCCTCCAATCATTTTCAAGTTTAATATCTTTCAAGCATGGTACCCAGAAATGATCACAGCACTCCACACTTTTTTTAAACATCTCATCAGTTCCTAAAAATTTTAATTTAATCAGATTCCTCTGATTCAAAAAGTAATTTCAGAAATTTCCCACTTTAGTGTGCCTATTCGATGAATTTTATCCTAAGATTATATATGATATATACTCAATTATATAATTCCCTCATCTTTTCATTTTTAAAGCTATATAGATGAATAAAATATTGCACATCAATTCCTCATCTCCTGCATTTATTAAAATTTTTGTAGAGCCCTAGCCGGTTTGGCTCAGTGGATAGAGCATTGGCCTGTGGACCAAAGGGTCCCAGGTTTGATTCCAGTCAAGGGCACTTACCTTGGCTGCAGGCTCCTCCCTGGCCTGGACCCTGGTCAGGGCTCATGTAGGAGGCAACAAATCAATGTGTTTCTTTCACATTGACGTTTCTGTCTGTCTTTCCCTCTCTCTTCCACTCTCTCTAAAAGATAAATGGAAAAATATCCTCGGGTGAAGATTAACAAAAACAAAACAAAACACCTTACAACTTTTTACCCAACACTTAAAGGAGAATGAGAGAGCTTCCATCCTGATAGGGATGGCTAGGGAATCCCTGCAGTCTGGCCAAGGAATCTGAAATACCTTTTGTCCTTTAACACTTTCTACTTTTTGTTCCAGTTATTGGTACCATGTTTTAGACAAAGTCCAGCTACCTCCAGATTGATTGGCCTCTCTATTGCAAGGTACTTCACAAGATGACAGTAATAAGCCAGGGTACATGGTGATGTATAATAGAATACATTTTTTGTCCTTGATCTGATCACAGTTCTGATCAACCTAGTGTATACATTGGTCTTCTTTCCAGCCTAATAAATCATTTGCTTTTAATTCTTCCTGTCATTCCTCAAACATGGTAGGCAATATTTAAAAGAGCCTGGTGCCCAACTGGTGTGGCTCAGTGGCTGAGCATCGACCTATGAGCCAGGAGGTCACGGTTCAATTCCTGGTCAGGGCACATGCCCAGGTTGCAGGCTCGATCCCCAGTAGGGGGCATGCTGGATGCAGCCAATCAATGATTCTCATAATTGATGTTTCTATCTCTCTCTCTCTCTCTCTCTCTGAAATCAATAAAAATATTTTTAAATGAAAATAAAAGAGACTGGTAAACTATATTCCAGCTCCATATAGCACCGAACCCAATGCCTTCCACCATGCATATATGTCTGTGTGCTTATTTTTTTCAAGAGAGTAGTTTTCTGATTGAAGGGACTGCACAGTTCACATAGGATTCCTCATATTAGGTACTTGCTAAGAAGAAATAACTTTAAATCTTCAATTTAAAAAATATATTTTTTTTATTGATTTCAGCAAGGATGAGAGAGGGAGAGAGAGATAGAAACATCAATAATGAGAGAGAGAGTCATTGATGTACTGCCTCCTGTTTGCCCCACACTGGGGATCAAGCCCACAAAATGGGCATGTGCCTTTGAAGAAAACTGAACCCAGGACCTTTCAGTCCACAGGCCGATGCTCTATCCACTGAGCCAAACCAGCTAGGGCTAAATCTTCAACTTTTGAAGAGTTTTACATTTATGCTGTTTAAAAAATCAACTTTATTAAGATATAATTTATATAATTTTTTTTGTTAATCCTTACCTGAGGATATTTTTCCATTGATCTTTTAGAGTGGCATAGAGAGGGAAAGACAGAGAGAAACGCCAACGTGAGAGAAACACATCAATTGGTTG